TCTTGCTTCAAGTGTTTTCCTATTTTTTTTTTTCTCTCTCTCTCTCTGTCTCCTTCGCTTCTGGATTTGTTTCGAGGCGTTGATTCCGGTTAGAAAGGCGGTTTTGGCTTCCTTACGATAAGCCGTAGAAGACCGCTTGTACCTATTGTATCTGCGGGCGGGTGGGGGGAGGGTTAGTAGGGGGGGGGCGCTCGGGACCCTAACAAGGGCGACCCCATCTTGTCTCAGAAGGCAGTCGCTTCCCCTCCTTCCATTCTCCTTCCTTCCCTCCCCCCTTCCTCCTCTCTCTCTCTCTTTCTTCTCCTCCTTCTCTTCCATCTCCTCCTCCTCCCCCTCCTCTTCCTCCTCTTCCGTCTCTTCCTCCTCTTCCTCCCTGGCCCTTTTTCTCCCCCCCTCCTTCCCCTCTCCCCACATCTTTATATCCCCAACTCTGCCTTTTATTTTCCTGCGTGACTGTGCTTAACGTCACTTGGGATATTTACTGTCTTAGGAGGGCGAGGGGGCGGATGGGGGGGGGGGGGGGGTAGGTGGAGGGGGCGGTGCGAGGGGTGGCTGAGCTTGGCCTGGAGTGGGGGGGAGGGGGGTTGAAGGAGGGGCGAGGTTGTGGAGGGGGGGAGAGAGAGGCCGTAGAGAAGGCGAAGAGGGGCGGCAGAAGGGAGGGAATTAGGGGGGGGCGTCGGTCCCCTTGTTCACTAACTTGGGATCCGTTCTTTCGTTCGCCGCCATTTTGTTCTGGCTTGTTTTGTCGCGCCCTCGCTCTGTCCCCCATCATCATCATCATCTCTCTCTCTCTCTCTCTCTCTCTCTCTCTCTCTCTCTCTCTCTCTCTCTCTCTCTCTCTCTCTCTCTCTCTCTCTCTCTCTCTCTCTTCCCTCTCCCAATCGTATACACATCACGGTACAACGTCTCTAGTGTAACGAATATGAACTGCACAAAATATCATGAATGCATTTTCTTTTCTCATTCTTAATGCATTCGCTGAGTGCTTTCATTTACAAGAGAGCGAGAGAAAGAGAGAGAGAGAGAGATAGAAAAAGAAGAAGAAGAAGAAAAAAAAAAACATAGGAAGAAAGGAGAAAATATGCCGAGAAAAAGTTCTGCAGCTTTAATGTGCAGAAGAGCGCGAAGTTCATTGGTAGAAGTAACTTGCGTGAAACATGTATAAAGAACTTAAGCCAACACAAGTGAAGTGTGTGGCTTGCCCCTTCCCCTTCCCCTCCCCCCCCTCTCTCTCCTTTCCTCCGCCCCCTTCTCCTCCTTCCTTTCTTCCGCCCCCTCCTTCTCCTCTTCCCTCTTCCCCGTTTCGTCTTCTTTCTCTTTCTCCTTTTCTTCTTTCCCCTATTGTTTTTTTTTCTCCTCTTGCTCCGTCCTTTCTCCCTCTCTCCCTTTCCCCCTCTCCTCTTCCTCTCGCTCTCCTCTCGCTTTCTCTCCCTCTCCCCATCTTCCCAAATGGCTGGCTGCTCTACGCGATCCTCCAGTCTGCCTTTCAAGCCTTCACTGCCTGTTTATCTTGCCGTCTTTCCTCTCTTTCTCTCTCTCTCTATCTTTCTCTGCCTTTCTTCATTTTTCCCTCTTTTTTGTTTTTTTTGCTCCACTTTTTGCTACGGTATTAGCTCTTCGTATTTACAGTTTCTCATAACGATTCTCCCATTATTATTTTTTTTCTCTCTCTTCGATTTTTTCTCCGCCTCCTCCTCCTACTCCTCCTCCTCCTCTTCCTCTTCTTCCTCCTCCTCCTCCTCCTCCTCCTCCTCCTCCTCCTCTTCCTTCTCCTCCTCCTCGTCCTCCTCATCCTCCTCCTCTTCCTCCTCCTCCTCCTCCTCCTCCTCCTCCTCCTCCTCCTCCTCTCCCTTCTCCTCCTCCTCTTCCTTCTCCTCCTCCTCCTCCTCCTTCTCCTGCTCCTCCCCCTCGGCACCCCAGAGTGTGGCGGGAAATGACTCAAACCATGTGTTGCTGCTCATCTGCATAATCCAATCAGGAGACGGGCGGGAAGGGCCTAAGACACGTCGGTGGCGGAGTGGGGGAGTTTGGGCCGCCGGCGGTGAGGCGGGATTAGGGGCGCCGCAGGAAGGGAGAGGGGGAGAGGGAGAGAGGGAGGGAGAGGGAGAGAGGGCGGGAAGGAGAGAGGGAGGGAGGGAAGGAGGGAGTGAACCTGCGTTCTAGTCTGCCAGAGAATGGAGGACGGAAAGATGGGAAGGATAGTTAAAGGTTGAAAAAATAAATAGAGGAGGGAGGATGGGAGTGAAGGAGGGAGGGAGGAAGAAGGGAGAGAGAGAGAGCGAGAGAGGAGGAAGGGAAAGGGAGCGAGGGAAGAAGGGGAGAGATCCTGCCCTCTAGCCTGCGAGGGAATGGAAAACGGAAAGAAAGAAGGAAGAGTTGTTAAAAGCAGCAAAAGAAGGAGGGAAGGCGAGTTGAGGGCAGACGCCGGGAGGGAAGGTGAGAGAGCCAGCCATGTAGCCTGCCATCTAGCCTGCCATCCTGGAAGTGAAAGAAAGCTAGAAAAGAGACAGAGGGGAAGAGGAGGACTAGGAAGGAAGGGAGGTCGGAGAAAAGGTCGTAGAAAGAAAGGTGGTAGAAGGAAGGCAGGGAAGGAGAAGGAAGGTTGCAAGGCTAGAGAGAAGGCAAGAAAGAAGGCTGAGAAAAGGACTACAGGCCCTTAAGTGAGGGAGGAGAGGGCGAGCGAAGGCTGTCACTCGCGGGCCTTCAAGGAGCTGGGAAAAAAGGGAGAGGGAGGAAGAGGGAAGGAAGGGGAAGGCTAATTTTTTTTTTTATTCTTATTCGATTTCCTTCCTTCCTCTCTTCCTTTCTTCCTTCCTTCCTCTTTTTTCCTTTTTAGAAGGTTTTGGTTTTATGTTGGGAAGTTGGGTGACAAGTTAGCTTTTTAGGGGTGGGAGATTGGCCACCAAGAGCTTATATATATATATATATATATATATATATATATATATATATATATATATATATATATATATATATATATATATATATATATATATATATATATATATATATATATGTGTGTGTATATATATATACATACATACATATACATGTATATATACACATACACATATGAGGGCATTTTCTGTCCATATTTTAACGCGCAATACTCCATTTTCTTATCTTAAAGGATCGTTAGTATATTTAAACGCGCGGAGGTATAATGAAACGGGGATGCTACGTCCGTAGATTAAAACTGACACATTTAAAGTTTGTATGCGATGTGATAAGATATAAATAGATACCATGTATTTTAGGGTTGTTATATGCATGTAGGTGTGTATGTGTGCTTGTGTAAGTGTGTCGCGAAAATGTTGAATAATAATAACCACTAATTTAGATTTAAGTTTGTTTACTAATATCTTTAATACTCTCTAGATGCATTATTTCTTCTCTCGTAACATTAGTGCATGCGGGGGCCTCCTAAGCCGATTCTTTCCCGGGCACTAACCATTCTAACCCAGCCTTTCCCGCGACTCACACCAGCTTCGTCCACTAACGCAGCGGCGGTGACGGCGGCGCTGGCGGCGGGAGACTCGCCAGGCCGGAGCGAAGGACGCGGTCGCCAAACTCTCGTTCTTGTTGCAGGTACTATGAGACGGGCTCCATCCGGCCGGGCGTGATCGGCGGCTCCAAGCCCAAGGTCGCCACGCCCACGGTGGTGGACGCCATCGCCAACTACAAGAAGCAGAACCCGACCATGTTCGCGTGGGAGATCCGCGAGCGGCTGCTCTCCGACTGCGTGTGCGACCAGGAGAGCGTGCCCTCCGTCTCCAGCATAAACAG